AGAAATATTAGGGAAGAAATGAAACACATGCTAGAGTTGGCCTGCGAACATAGAACATACGTAGCAAAGCTAAGGGGAAGGCAGAAAGATACCAACTTGTGCTGCTGTGACTGCCCTCTTAGTTCACACTAGAGTCCAACATGCCATTTCCCCTTCTCTTAGTGCTGGTTAGCTGACCTTCATCATGCATAAAATTGGATGGAGAACTGCCCCTCCTACTCTACCTAATTTTGCTCAGCTGACTCGTTGCCCTGGACAACGGCTGTAGTGCGATGCATTCCTCACTTAAAGCAACTCTGCTGGAGTACATCTACAAGTGGATAAAGAAGGGATGGAACACACAGATCAGTGAGAAGGTAGTCACATTGTTCAATAAGGCAGACACAGGACAAAGTTCTCAAAAAGACACAACTTTCATTTGCAAAGCCCATATGTGCAGAGACACTGGTTTCTGAACGATTAAGGGTGGGGAACAACATGATCAATGCAGAGAAGAATTTTGGTTTGCAGTTTAATTCAGGAAGTATTTATACCCATCTGCATTGTTTAAGGGGGATTTGTGCTAAATTCACTTCCTGGTTACGATTCCTTTGACTTTAGCTGTTGGCTGTTGCAAACCAGTGTTCCTTACACATAGGAGACTTAATATAAGCAAGCCATTTTCTAAAACCATCTATGTCATTCAGTCTTAGCTGCCGAATTTTAAAGCTGCTGTTTGCATTTAGAGACGCGGGTTGGGATGGACAGATAACCGCATCTTATTTTTAAAAAAGGGGAAAAAAGGGGATTTCTTACAGAGATGTTTTCCTTAGAGGTATTTTTTTCCCCCTTCTATGAACTACATAATGGCATAGAAGATGAGAGCAAGATACAAAATAGTAAAGTCAAATCAAAACTGCATTTCCACTTCCAATTAGATTGAGAAACAGCCATCACACGGTAAACAAAACAGGCCTTCAGGAACTTCCCCACAATTAAGTACAAATTTAAAATAGATACTAGATGCAAATAAATTTGGTTTTCAAGGGCATCTTAAACGCTTGTGTGATCTGAGTTCAAAACAATGGTTGTATTTAGCAATGCAAAGTAATTTAAAAGGTTGTCTTGAAAACAGGTTTTTATTGTCAATAGAGTTGGACTTCCATTTAACTGGGATTTCTTAGCAAAATAAATAAATCAAATCTTGTTATTTCTTAAACACTTAAAAAAAAAACTTGATTTTTATGTGAGTACATGATTCTAACTTGGGTTTTTCCAATCTTGTTCCCTCCAGATAAAGTAGCAGTATAATCAGATGATCACAGATTTGCTGTTTGAATGTAATTTAATTAGGCAGAGAACTGTTTCTCTTGCTGTAAAGTTAAAATTAGTCATTTACATGCAGCTAATTTTTAAAAGGAACACAACTACTTCTGCATGGTACCTTTCATCCCCACTCAGACTTTCAGTATCAATTTCAACAAGAAATGCCATGGCTTTCTAAATCAAGTAATAGCCTTTAAAAAGCCAGACTCCTAGTCCACCATGAAGGTCAAATTAATTACATAAAAATAATCTGAAGATTGATATAACAGGCTTACTCAATAGGAATTTTGTATTATCACCTTTAATGATGTGAACGTTAGCACAGAAACTTCTCAGCAAATCTTGAGAATAGCAGTTATTAGCTGGGTACATGCAAGATGCTTAAGGTGGTTAATAATTAAATCAGTTGAGTTCACACAACAGATTGAGCTACTCCACCATCACACCCTGCCCCTTTAGAATGTTGTGCAAGTAGTCCTCGATTTACAACAGTTCATTCAGTGATCGTTTGGAGTTACAACAGCACTGAAAAAAAGGGACGCATGACTGATTTCACACTTATGACTATGGTAGTATCCCCATAGTCAACTTTTGCAACAATGGCAACTATTTGTGACAGTCACTTTTTGCGACCTTCTGACAAGCAAAGTCAATGGGGAAGCCAGATTCACATAACAACTGCAGCAATTCATTTAACAACTGTGGCAAGAGAGGCGTAAAGGGAGGGGGCAAAACTAACTTAACAACTGTCTCACTCAGCAATGGAAATTTTGGGTTCAATTGTGGTTGTAAGTTGAGGATTACCTGTATAAATGCAGCTGAAGGTTTTTACACTAACCTGGTTAAGGGTGTTATTCTGCTTCATAAGCAGATTCTCACATATTGTATACGTACTGAAATCATTTTGCAAGAAGTATTTAAGGTAGTATGTCAAAAAGGAAGATTTTGACCTTGCTTTTTCTCAAGATACCAGTCAGATCAGTTATACGGACCTAGATTTTTCTTGGATCATTTTCTCTATTAAAATGGGCAATCTAGATTATTTTCTACCTGGATTTTTCATCTCAACTAGCCCTTTACCATCAAAATTGGAGTTCTTATAACTTAAAAATAAAACTCCAATAAAAGTGAGTGAAAAGTAGAAGTTGTTTGTTGAGCAGAACCATAAAATATATATGGCAAAATACTTTTTCTTAAAGAAGCAGAAAAGCTATAATAACAAATATTCATTTCATTTTCTTAAAAATGAAGCTATATTCAGGAGCTGCATACAGTTATATAGGTAGACCTAACATGGGGATTTTCCTCAGAGTTGATCCAACGTAACTAGAAGCAGGGATTGATTTCAGTTCGGCCAACATCTGTCAAATAAGATATGAATGGAGAACATGGAATATTCCAGATTTTGCTGAAGTACAACTTGCAACAGCCCTGATTCCGACTGGCCAACGAAGGATGTTCTAGTTCAGCAACATTTAGGAACCTACAACATCTTGGACAGGAGCTTTCAGATACAGATTAATCAATTTATTCCATTACTGCACATATATTTGATTAACTTTCCAACATGATCCAGTCCTGCCACGTGGACAAGTTAATGAGCTGCACATCACAGAGAGGATGAAGAAAATAAAATGCTTACAAGCATATAGAAACACCTTCCTGAAAGAAACAGGAAAAACAGTCTTGCTTTATCTCTAAGTGCAAGTGCCCTCTTCAGATCCATGCTTTCAAGAGATGCCATTATGGGTCCCACTTTCTAAAGCAGTACTCTTTATGTTATCCCATACCAGTGATATTCAATCTGGCAGCCTCTGGATGTATTCAGACTGTACTCCCACCCCACTCATCTATTAATTTCAATTTTGTTGGGGGAGAGGCTGTTCTATGTTACAGAAATTCCTGATTTTTTTTAAAAAAGGTATTAATTGCACAGGGTTGATTGGGAAGGAGATTTAAACAGAGATTAGGATTGCCATGTTATTTAAACAGCTACATTTAAAACACAGGAACAGGAGATAACGAGCAGATAACCTAGGCCTTTTATTTGTGTCCATTTGTCTCTTCATAACTATTTGCTTAGCATAGATCATTGTGGTTTTGGTCAAGATAAACAAAGCATACACAACATCAATTGTCTATGGGAGTAATAGTGGGTACTGCAACAGCCTAATGTTGCTAGGAAGTCTCAAGCACACCTAACGGCATCCTGCACAGATCCAAGGATATTCAACATACAGTACCACAGGCTCTCCTAATAAGTGGATTTCAAAGGAAAAATCAACTGCCATTTAAAAAAATAAGAGGAGACGCTTCACCTTCACACAGTATGTGAAAAAAGGAAGAATGATCGAGCACAGGGATCTCCAAACTTGGCCATTTTAAGACTTGTGGACTTCAACTCCCAGAATTCCTCAGCCAGCATTGAAGTTGAAGTCCACAAGTCTTAAAGTTGTCAGGTTTGGGGATCCCTGATCTAGCATATTCATTCTGCTGAATGAACTTATGATTACTGCATGTCCAACTAAGTGATGGTCAATATTACCATAATTTTAGCTTGTAAGGAAGCATATGATTCTAATAATGGTCATTTTTCATAAAGTGGCATAAAGTGATGAAGAATGCTTTGCTTTCATGAAATGTACAGGATGCATTGCAAAGATTATACTCTGAGGCTATTGTGAACCACAGAGAAAGCTGACTTTTCTCACTCCAGAAATGCCAGATTCTACTCTATTTGAAATGATTCTGTAAAGGAAACCAAATGGCCATCAGCGCTCTCGTAACACCTCCCAGAAAATGCACTACAGTGCAGCTCAACGAGACTGTGGAAAAGTGTTTTTCTCCAAACAAGAGATGACCAATAAGTGATCATACGATAAACTCAAATATGGGAAAGCAGAACTATAGAGCAGATTTTTAAGATACTCCGCTCCCCAAAGTTTAAAAAAGAACCTACGAGCAGCAGGATCTGATCTCTTTCAATATACATTTATTAATCAGTCCCATTCCTCGCAGTATTTTTACCTGCTGGGTTTCCAAATATTTACCAGCCCCTTTTCTAAGCAATTGTCAAAAGCAAAGAAATGTTGGGAATGGTATCTGTCCTCCGGATGCGTGGACTTTTCTGGAATTCCACAGCCAGCTGGGAATTTGGGGGATTATAGTTCATCCATCTGCTGGGAGTCTAGGTTGGGGAAGGCTATTCTAGGTTATGCTGCAGTAAATATTAAATATTCTCCATGCAAGAAATCTATTTATCTTGGGAAAAAATAGCTACCCCAAAACTCAAGATCATTTGATAACAGTAATTACATACATTACGATGGATGTTAAGTTAATATTTACTCATCACTAATAAATAAGCAATTGAGTGGCAAGAATGGAACTAGTTCACGACTGAATCATTGGATATTTACTATCTCACCATGTCTTAGTTAAATTTTTTTTAGAAATCTTACTTCCTTAGCTTTATTAATACTTTCGTTACATTGCAATATGACCAAGAGGAAAACAAAAAAATTACATTTTAAAAGCTGGAAAATAGATTTTTTTTAAAAAAAAATACTCACCATAGAATTACAGTAAATTAAGAACTGAAGGCAAAATAGCAACAAAGATCCAGAGAAATGCTCAAAAATGTAATCTTCCCAATAACTCAAATGCTAATCAAACCACTCATAAGCATAAGTTACCTGGACTTTTTCTGTACTTGTGGGCTGTAAGTGTCTGTAAAACACTTTTTTCACGACATCAAGAAATAAGCAAGTGACAACTATGACGATTATGGCAAACCAAGCAGAGCCGCTGGACAGCAACTGAACAAATACAAAGTACATGTCTTGGGTATGCAAAAACGGCCTGGAAGGAGAAAGGACACAAGAAAATGGAAATTAACGAGCAGCAAAGGAAAACATTTAGATCAGCAGTCCACAACCTTTGTGACTTGGCTGGGGGGGGAGAGGGGAAGCGGGCCACGTAAGTGGTGGGCCAGCCTGTACACATATGCACGCCGGCCAGCACCTTGTGAGTGGACTGCGTGTGTGCATCAGCCCGCCTTTCGTGCAGCCCGGTTCCAAATAGGCCGTAACCTGGTAGTGGGCCACGGCCTGGGGACCCCTGATTTAGATGACACTCTTAAGAGCAGTGGGAAATATTCAATATTGAAAAGTGACGAAATTATAGTTCAGGTAGTCCTCAGCTTACAACCATTCCTTTAGTGACTGTTTGAAGTTACAACGGCACTTTACAAAGTGACCTATGACTGTTTTTCCACACTTACGACCAATGCAGCCTCCCCGTGGTCAGGTGATCAAAATTCAGACGCTTGGCAACTGGTTCATATTTATGACGGTTGCAGTGTCCCAGGGTCACGTGATCATCTTTTGTGACCTTCTAGCATGCAAAGTCAATGGGGGAAAGCCAGATTCACTTTACTACTGTGTTACTGATTTAACAACAGCAATGGTTCACTTAACCACTGGTCGTAAAATGGGGTTGTAAAATGGGGCAAAATTCACTTAACTGTCTCACTTAGCAATGGAAATTCTGGCTCAATTGTGGTCATTAATCTAGAGCAGGAGTAGGCAACCTTGGCTCTTTTATGACTCGTGGACTTCAACTCCCAGAATTCCTGAGCCAGCACGGCTGGCTCAGGAATTCTGGGAGTTGAAGTCCACGAGTCATAAAAGAGCCAAGGTTACCTACCCCTGATCTAGGGCTACTTGTATCTCCCAGGGACTGAATTCCAAAGATATAAAATCCATACTAGAGAAAGCCCTGTTCCTACTAGTAGTATCCACCAGCCTCATGGCTTTGGAGCTAGAGAATATCACTTCTAACATTGATCTTAAGGTCTGGGCAAGTTCACAGCTGCACATATTCAACTTTGGCTGGTCATGTGAAACTGTGTAGAGACAGACCTCCTTAGAACATTGAAGGGAGATAATGAGGAAACTTAGGGATATGGATAGTGATAATAATAAAAAGCAGCACTCAGCCTCTCTAATGAAGGCTGTGGCACATGACATTTTGAACTTAAGAGATGTAAGTTTGCATTCCTAAGTAATCAATCAATGAATGTAGCTCCAAACTTTTGAAGCTTAAAACGCTGACTATGGTTTAGAAATGAATGAGGCAAAACCTAGGGGCTGAGAATCTAAAGTAAAAAAGATGTAGAAGTACATCCCAAACACATTATTATTTTTAATACTGTCCCCTAGTAAATTGATAATTGTATTTTGCATTTTGAAAGCTATGTCAGCATGCACAGTTAAGCCCTAAAATTCTGGAGGCATCAGCTTTTTATCCATTTCTCTAAAAATTAACCTGGCAGAAGTTTTGGCTTTCATAGATTTGAAAAATGGGACATTGAAATAATCAATTATTTATTTGTTCCTTAAGATTTATTTCCTGCCTTTCCTCCAAAAAGAGAAAACATGTAACTCAAGGTTGAATTCTGGGGTGCTTGGTACGTTCTGACTTGATTGTTTGCTTGTAGACGTTTCATTACCCAACTAGGTAACATCATCAGTGCTACTGAATGTGGAGTTTGTTCCCTCTTTATAAACAGTAGTAGCTTGCCTGTGTAAAAGCTACCACTGTTTGATGTGATCATCCATCTCTGATACTATGTCAAATTCTATTTCGAAGTAGAATTAAAACTGCATCTTCAAGTTTGGGCAACAAAGAAGGGCCACTATAGAACAACACATGGGTAACATGACAGTATTTCTATTTTTTATTATTCTTTTCATCTTGTGTGCCGGATTGTTAGTCTTGAGAAATGCAGCAATACAAGTTTTGTGTGCATACGTATGCACTGTGTGTGTACACACAAAAACATGCATCACTGGTTCACAGCCTGCTTATAGGTCCAAACATGGTTTTGTTGATGGCAAAAATTTAAGGCAGCAATATTTTGCTACTCTTCTGTTTGGGTACACTAACTACTTACCAGATTATTCCGCCGTAGAATAAGGAAAAGATGAAGTAAAACACAATGGACCCCCAAGTAACAAAATGATTTATCCAAGTCCAAAAGTGGGTTTCTATTGCCATCTATGCACACACAAAAAAAGAAAATTGTATCTCTTAATAAACAAGTAATTACAAAGTTAAGGCCTGTGAAAACATTGCATGTTTTATTATTCTTTTTTGTTTGTACTTTTAAGTCAGTGCTGACTGCGGGCAACTGTCTGGACAAGTCTTGCAGTTTCCTGGGTGAGATTTCAGCAGTGGTTTGCCACTGGCTGCTTCCCAGGGCTGAGAAAGAAGGACTGGCCCAAGGTTACATAGCTGGCTTGGTGCCTAAGGTGAGACTAGAACAGTGATGGCAAACCTTTTAGAGACTGAGTGCCCAAACTGAAACCCAAAACCCACACACTTATGCATCGTCAAGTGCCGGGTGGGTGTGGCCCATTAGCTGGGTGTTGCCAATTGGGTGGGCTTGGCCAATTGGGTGGGCGTGGCTGCGGTGGTAATGGCAGACTGGGTGGGACTAAAAAGTTCAATCAATCAATTCCAACTTTGCAAGATCTTTTTTTTTCCTGCGAGAAGTTGAAATTGACTGAACCTTTTTTTTTTTTTGCATATGGCGGCAGAGGCCTAAAGCAAAAAGGTTTTATAAAACCCAGCTGAAGGCCGAGGACTGGGGTGACGGCGCGTGTGCCCACAGAGAGGGCTCTGAGTGCCGCCTCTGCCACCCGTGCCATAGGTTCGCCACCACTGGACTAGAACTTAGAGCCTCCCAGTTTCTGGCCCGTCTCCTGGTTTCTAGTCTGATGTCTTAACTGCTATACCAAACTGACTTTTATATGTTTTATTGAGAACTGGTATTCTAAATCCAAGCTGTGCACAACCTTAGTTCTGAAACCCTTAACACAACTTTGGTTCTGCATGTGAATGGCTTCTTCCCTGTAGCTGACTTTTACGCTGGTCAACTGAAAAAAAAAAAAGGCAGTTCTTGATCAAACAATCATGGCGGAATATAGCTGACTCTGTCCTTGGGAAGGGCTCAGTAGGTGTATAAAAATGCAAAATTCAGTCTAAACATCTGGTTTTATTTATTTATATATACTATAACCATCCACCTCAGCAAACAACTCTCAGTGGATCACGATTCAAAACATATATTACAATTAAAACATTTTAAAGCAATAAAAGCAGTGAAAAGCATTAAAACAGTAAAAACATTGTTGATTGTGTGATCAACAATAACAAGGCATCTGTTCAGGCATCAAAGTATTCTCCTGGCACTAACTTTTGGACTTTCTTGAGCCTATGTTTTTTTTTCTCCAGATGAGGAGTTCTTTGTAGCTGGGTTTAAAGACAAAGAAGCTTCTTTTGACCTCACTTGAATAAATAATTTGGTCTCAGAAAACTGAGTTTGGAAGAATACAACCTCACTGACATTGGGAGTTTTCAGTTAGAAAAATCCCAACACAAACAAAACTGATGGGTTTCAATATTAATTTAACTCTTCCAGTTAAATATAGTCAAATCGCTCCAGCATTGATCTCAGACTGTTATTAAAGACAATTAAAAATAGCTTAGAAAGCAAAATCACAAATGCACTGCAGTACCTTCATTGTAACCGTTATAACCATAACTGTGAAGACCAGGGTACCAAAAGTCCAATTTCCAAACATCTAAAAAGGAAAACAAGAAATTGAATTAGATGGAAGACACCTAAAAGGCAACACAGTTATGCTAATAAGCTAGACCTACCAGATGTTCAAATGAACACTTGCCCATTTAGAACAACTTAGTAAAATCAGTAGGGCAAAAGACAAAACAAGCCAATAAATAAATGAATTTCTACTTCTTCAGTGAAAAAAAATGCAGTTGTCCCTGTTAGATTTCTGTGTAATTTTTCAGCTCATGTCTTATTTTGAATCTAATTGCTTTCTTTCTAGAGTACTGGTTACCTCATCCAATTTAGTGTCACCCACAAAAATTTGATATTTCCTTTACCCTATTTCATGGAAAATCTAGACTTATGCACTTATTTCTTGAAAGAGCTAGACTGTGTTAAATATTGTTTCTCCTCATTTCATGAATTATTTTTAGTTTATGGGTGGTTAAAATGTAGTTGTTCTGCTTGTTTGTGTTGTAATGGTACAGGAAGCCTCAACTTGATAAATACAGATCCAAAGAAAAAAAATCCAGTATAAGTATGGTTGTGGGGAAAAGAGCATCCACTAACTGAATTACATTCATTTATTCCACTACATTCTAAAGAAGACATTTTAAAACACGCCGGAAAAGGGATTTTGGTACACAACTCAACAGAGAGGTTATCCAAGTTTCCCTGCAAAGGAGTCCAGCCCAGCCCACAAGGAAGAAGCAAATTCCATCATCAATAGCAGTGCTGTCATTTTGTGCCTATTAACACCATGTCGATCCTTTTTTAATTCTCTTTTTCTTGGACGGCTATCTGCAACCAGGCAATTGAAAATCCTGAGAACTGGGAAAAATCTAGGCTTGGTGAAAAAGCTGAAGATGCAAGCCCCCTTCACCTAAAGATGGTTTGTCTACAAAGAGCTTTCTTTAAGCTGGCAGAAAGCAACACTATTAATTAGTAGATGTTTGCCATTGAGACTGCTAGAGGTGGAAGAGGAGAAGATTCCGGTAAACACCCCAAACCACCCACAATCTGCATGAAGATTGTGTTTGTACAAAGGCGGGGGGGGGAGGGGGAAGAGACCGAAGACAAAAAGCACGTAACTTGACAACATTTCACTAATACACAAGAACCTTTCCTTGAACACTATTAGTTGTCCACTTAGAACGAGAAGGACTGGAAAGCTCTTCCAATCAGTTTCTCTTAATGTGTTCAAGGAGAATGAGCGATGCATTCTTGAACACGGCTACAAAGGTACTGCATTTAGCGTCTGCATGTCTTTTATCCTACAACATAAAATCTTACCATTTGCCTGTTAGGTTTGAGTAGCTGATGACATGCACAGCATGAAAAAAAGGGGTAGGTTAGAAGGAAACTAAAAGTGCAAAATTGTAGTATACAGCCGTTACAG